GCACGTAGCGTTTTTTTTAAAACGTTTCGGCCCCGGGGGGGGGAAATGCTGATGCTGATGCTGCTGCTGCTGCTGAGGATGATGATGCTGATGATGATTATCATGATGATGCTGCTGATGGTGGTGATGAGGATGATGATCATGATGTTGATGATGGTGAGGACGATGACGATGCGATGACGATGCTGCTGACGACGACGATGGCGATGCAGATGACGATGACGATTGTGATGATGCCGATGATGCTGCTGATGATGACGATGATGGTGATGGTGATGGTGATGGTGGTGATGATGATGATTATGATGATGATGATGCCGATGCTGCTGCTACTGATGATGATGGTGATGATGATGAAAACATTGACTAAAATTACTCCGACGGTAGGACCCCGCACGAGAATCTGTTTAGTTTACCCTTTGCCCTTTCCTCTTCCTCCTGGGGCTCCCGCCTGAGACTTCATCACAGTTCACTCACAGACGAGGCTCCCGCTCGAGACTTCCTCCATATTCAAGTCTCAAGAGCCCAAAAGTGACGACAGTTGCACGTTGCGGATGACCCGCTCGGATTCAAACATGAAGTGCGGGCCCCATAGGGAGGGGGCTCCCGCCTGAGATTTCCTCACAATTTACTAACAAACGAGGCTTCCGGTCGAGACTTCCTCCATATTCAAGTCTCAAAAGCCCAAAAGTGACGACAGTTGCACGTTGCGGATGACCCGCTCGGATTCAAACATGAAGTGCGGGCCCCATAGGGAGGGGGCTCCCGCCTGAGACTTCCTCACAATTTACTCACAGACGAGGCTCCCGCCTGATACTTCCTCCATATTCAGGCCTCAAGAGGCCAAAAGTGACGACAGTTACACGTTGCGGATGACCCGTTCGGATTCAAACATGAAGTGCGGGCCCCATAGGGAGGGGGCTCCCGCCTGAGACTTCCTCGCAATTCGCTCACAGACGAGGCTCCCGCTCGAGACTTCCTCCATATTCCAGTCTCAAGAGCCCAAAAGTGACGACAATTGCACGTTGCGGATGACCCGCTCGGATTCAAACATGAAGTGCGGGCCCCATAGGGAGGGGGCTCCCGCCTGAGATTTCCTCACAATTCGCTCACAGACGAGGCTCCCGCTCGAGACTTCCTCCATATTCAAGTCTCAAGAGCCCCAAAGTGACGACAATTGCACGTTGCGGATGACCCGCTCGGATTCAAACGTGAAGTGCGGGCCCCATAGGGAGGGGGCTCCCGCCTGAGACTTCCTCGCAATTCACTCACAGACGAGGCTCCCGCTCGAGACTTCCTCCATATTCATATCTCAAGAGCCCAAAAGTGACGACAGTTGCACGTTGCGGATGACCCGCTCGGATTCAAACATGAAGTGCGGGCCCCATAGGGAGGGGGCTCCCGCCTGAGACTTCCTCGCAATTCGCTCACAGACGAGGCTCCCGCTCGAGACTTCCTCCATATTCAAGTCTCAAGAGCCCAAAAGTGACGACAGTTGCACGTTGCGGATGACCCGCTCGGATTCAAACATGAAGTGCGGGCCCCATAGGGAGGGGGCTCCCGCCTGAGACTTCCTCGCAATTCACTCACAGACGAGGCTCCCGCTCGAGACTTCCTCCATATTCAGATCTCAAGAGCCCAGAAGTGACGACAGTTACACGTTGCGGATGACCCGCTCGGATTCAAACATGAAGTGCGGGCCCCATAGGGAGGGGGCTCCCGCATGAGACTTCCTCGCAATTCGCACAGACGAGGCTCCCGCTCGAGACTTCCTCCATATTCAAGTTTCAAGAGCCCAAAAGCGACGACAGTTGCACGTTGCGGATGACCCGCTCGGATTCAAACGTGAAGTGCGGGCCCCATAGGGAGGTGGCTCCCGCCTGAGACTTCCTTGCAATTCGCTCACAGACGAGGCTCCCGCTCGAGACTTCCTCCATATTCAAGTCTCAAGAGCCCAAACGTGACGACAGTTGCACGTTGCGGATGACCCGCTCGGATTCAAACATGAAGTGCGGGCCCCATAGGGAGGGGGCTTCCGCCTGAGACTTCCTCGCAATTCACTCACAGACGAGGCTCCCGCTCGAGACTTCCTCCATATCCAAGTCTCAAGAGCCCAAAAGTGACGACAGTTGCACGTTGCGGATGACCCGCTCGGATTCAAACATGAAGTGCGGGCCCCATAGGGAGGGGGCTCCCGCCTGAGACTTCCTCGCAATTCACTCACAGACGAGGCTCCCGCTCGAGACTTCCTCCATATTCAGGCCTCAAGTCAGCGAGTAGTGATGATGATGATGATGATGATCGTTCGATGCCGATGATGGTGAGTGATCGTGGGATGGTGATGGTGATGCTGATGGTGATGATGATGATTAGTGGGGAGTGATGGTGATGGTGATGATGATGCGGAGGAGGAAGCACAGAGGAGCAGAGGAGAGGGAGGAGGAGGAGATCCTGCGCGGAGGGTGTGCAGAGAAAACAAGAACCCCACTTAGGATTTTGGAAATGACTCTGATGATGACGATGATGGTCCATATAAAGATGATGAGGAGGAGAAGGGACACGACGATACTGATGCTGCTGGTGTTGCTGTTGCTGCTGCTGCTGCTGCTGTTGATGATGATGATGATGATGATGATGATGATGATGATGATGATGATGATGATGATGATGATGATGATGATGATGATGATGATGATGATTATGCTGATGATGCTGATGCTGATGTTGATGCTAATGCTGATGCTGATGATGACGATGATGTGGAGGAGAAGGAGGAGGAGGAACATAATGAGGAAGGCCGTCAGGTGACACATCTTTGGTCTTCAGTATTTGAGGAACTCTCATGGAACTGGCTTGGGCCGTCGTAGGGCTGTCTTGACTTCCTGTGAGCCAGTCTTGGGGGTCCCTCGGGGACGTCTTATGCCGTCTTAGAGCTCATCTGGGCTGTCTTTGGACCCTCTTGGCCGTGTGGTGGGTGTCTGGGGGCCGTCGTGGGGCCGTCTGTCGTCGAAAGGCGTTTCTGGGCCTTCGTGGGTCCTGTGGGAGGTAGCCGCTCGCAGGTGCGCCGCCACGACGACGCGAGCCACGACCGAGGAGCCATGCGCCGAGGTCAGGACGTGCAGCCGCGCTCGCCACGACGTTGACGACACGACGGCGACGAGGCTCACAACTGTCGCTTTCGGCGCCCGTCCGCTGGGGGCGCCGCGCCGCCCCGCCGCCGCCGTGGGGCGTGGCGGCCCCGCCCGATGGGCCGCTCGGCCGCCCGCGCGCCCGGCGCGGCCCTTCGGTGCCTCGCCGCGCCGCCGCGTACTGCGGGCATCCGCGGTGCGGCGGCGGGCCGCCGCGGCGCGCTGGCGGCCGCCGCAGGTCCACCGCCGCCGCGGGCGGGCGCCGCGCTGGCGGCGGCCGCCGCGGCCAAGCCGCCGCGCGGGCTGCGCGGGCTGGCCGCGGCCGCGGGGTCGCCCGCCGCCGCGCGGGGCGCGGGCGCCGTGCCGCTGGTGCTGGACATGGACGGCGTGCTCTACACGAGCTGGCCGCGCGCGGGGGCGCGTCCCTGGAGATCCTGGCCATGCGATGTCTGTTCGCACCAGGTGCTTTTCCGCCCGGCTTCTGGCCTCGGGACCCTCGCAGGTCAAGACAGATGGGATCTAGCTCTGGTCGTGATTTTTTACAATGTTGCACTTTTTTGGCAACGTTGGATCTCAGAGGTGGGCGTTTCCATGGGGGCTGACTGAACTAAGATGGGTCAGAGCTAACTGGGGCCAGCCAGTGCCCGCTGGCTGACAGCCGCGTCTGGGAGTCGCGCGGGGCCGAATCCCCCACTCCTCGCTGGCCCTGGTCTTGGGAGCTGCTAGCGGCCGGCCAGGCTTCGCGACGGGGCCATGTTGGACGGGGCTAGGACGAGGATACATTCGTTCCAGAGCGTTCCGGAATGCTCTCAGAGCAGAGTGTTCCGGAACGCTCTGAAAAGGCCGCGTCGCCCGAGACATTCTCCAGAGCCGCCAGATCTCCGAGATTCTCGATGTCCTCCAATTGTATCCTCGTCCTGGCTTCGTCTTACCCTGGCCGACCTGGGTCTGTGCTGACCTGGACTAGTGCGTCCCCTCTGGCGCGCGGCCTCTGGGGGTGGCCCTCTGGCGCGCGGCCGCTCGGGCGCGCAAGCCGCCGCTCGTGCCGCACGCGCAGACCGCGGTCGGTCCGGCCGCGCGCCAGAGGCCCGCCGTTGCCCGGGGCCGCCCCCCCGGCGTGCGGCCGGGCGAGCGACGCGGTGGCGGGGCAGATCGTGCGGGGGCTGGAGTCGGCCACGAGGGCGCTGGGCCTCCCCGAGGTCACGTCGCAGGCGCTCTACGAGCGGCACGGCGGCACCGTGGTCGGGCTGCAGCGCGAGGGCCTGTGGCCGAGCGGCGCCGGCGCTGGGGCGTTCTATGCCCGCGCGTACGACGGGGTGGACCTCTCGGTGCTGAGGCCCGACCCCCTGCTGCGGCGGTGGCTGCGGGACCTCGCGGAGTCGGGCGACGTGTGCTGGTGGCTCGGCAGCAACTCCCCCCTGCGCTTCGTGGAGCGCGTGCTGGGCCGCCTCGGGCTCGACCCTGGGCAGTTCCGCATCGTGTGCCCCACCGCCGCCAACGGCTGGGCGAACAAGCCGGACGGGTCGTTCTACGCGCTGGTGCCCCGCGGCGGGCGGGCGTGCCTCTTCGACGACAGCCTGGCGAACTGCCGCGGCGCCGAGGCGGCGGGCCTGGCGGCGGTCCACGTCGACGGCTCCCGCGAGCTCATGGCGCTGGTCGACGCGCACCTGCGGCGGGGCGGCGCGGCGCCGAGGCCGGGCCCGCGCGGTTTGGGCCAGGGCGCGCCGCGGCGGCGGCTCGCGGTGGAGTTCGCGGCGCCCGGCGTGGCGCGCACCGTGGAGGAGGAGCTGCCGGAGGCGCAGCCGGGCCAGGCGGTGGTGAGGGCCACCTGCTCTGCCATCTCTGCCGGCACGGAGCGCACGAGCAGCGAACATGTCCGTGTCTTGGCCTCGCTCGGACGTGTGCATTTTGATCGCGACCATCGAGGAGCATCCTGGATGCACGAAGCCGACGCATGCACGGGGTCCGAGCGATGGCAAGGCGTCCGCGCCCTCGCGGCCTGGATTCCAGGGCGCGATCCCGCACGGGGTGCGCTCCGCGCGGGGCATCCGCGGAGAAAGGCACCCTGTGTCCGCGCGGTCGCGGCCCAGGGGCCTGGCCCGCGAGGCCGCGGATGCGGATCCGTTTTTTTCGCCCGCGAGGAGCGGCGGGTGCTGCTTCACGGCGTGGAGGGCGAGCAGCTGGACACGTCCATCGCGTCCCTGGCCTCGCAGGAGCCGGGCGCCTGGCCGGTGCGCTACGGCTACTGCCTCGTCGGGCGGGTGGAGGCGGCCAGCCGCCTGGCCGCCGGCTCCCGCGTGGTGTGCTTCCACCCACACGCCAGCGCCGCGGTGGTGGCGGAGTCGGACGCGCTGTCGATACCAGACGACGTGGGCGACGAGGACGCGGCCTTCTTCCCCAACATCCTGGTGGCGCGCACAAGAGTACAGGTTAACCTATCACCATTCCCACCAGGCCGTGGTATCTCAGCCCCACCATTCCACCACCCCACTTGGGGATAGACCCCTCGAAACCCGAAGGGAGCCGCCTACACCCCCACCTAGGGGCGTAGATCGGCCAGAGTGGCCCAGGCCACGCCAGTGGGGATAGGGGTCGGTTCAACGATGCTCACCAGGGCCGTGGCGCGAGGGGGGGCCTTCGAGAGGTCGGAGGGCGCCAACTACACACCTATACACCGATCCCGGCCAAGCCCCTCCTCGGCCCTGGATGGGCCTGGCCTGGCCAGGGTCGGTGCATCGGTGCATAGCTGACGCCCCCCGGCCTCTCGGAAGGGCTCGAAAGAAGGCGTCTCGATAAGGCTTCCTCGGGGCTTAGGAGACGGGGGTCAATGCAAGCGGGGATCCGTCAGGGCGCTCTTGCAGGATACTGCAGAGCCAGGGGTGCACTGACCTTGGGTTCGGGTGCAGGATCCTGCAGGGTCCTGAAGCCTGCAGGATCCTGCAGGCCCGACCGACCCGGGTTAGGGATTGACCAGGGTCAGCAGGTCCCCAGCTTCCTGGGAGCGGGGCAGTTGGCGCCCTCCGACCACTCGGAAGGGCCCAGAGGCTTCTTGGAAAGGCTTCCTGGAAGCCCGGGGTGCTCCCAAGCGGTCCCCCTGCTTTCTCAGAATCCCCTCCCCAGCCTTCTCAGAGGGCTGCTCCTTCTCGCGCCACCCCTGCCTTGACATCCGACGACGTGTTCTTTCCACTGCGCGGCCCCAGATCCATTCTGGAGAGTCCCATGGGTCGATGACGCGCCTCAGAGGCCAGAATGAAGGGACAGCGTCGCGACTTGACAAAGCCACATCGTCGGACCCTGGGATCCGACGTTACGGAAACATCGGCGGCATCGTGAAAAGTGGCGACCGCAGCCCTGGACCCCATCTCCCTGCGGCATTCTTCGGACCGGATCGACCTGGGAGGGACTCTGGGCCCGAGACAGGGCAACCCCGCCCGCTGTGAACGAATCGCGACGCCAGGATCCCAGGGGATGTCTGGGCCGGTGCGCGCCGCCAGCACGTGGAGACGGCGTGCTCGCTGGTCCAGGACGGGGGATGTAACTCCTGGGCGGTGAAACTCAGCGTCGGCGCTGGTATGTCCGTGGCGGACACCTGGCCCAATCCGGGTATAATCCCGTTTAGCTCAGCCTGGTCCAGCTCAGTCCCAGGCTTAGTGTGGGCTGATCCAGCCCAGTGGCCCTCTGACAGTGTTTCATGTTCTTTATCCTTCCTGCACAAGTCCAGGCAGGGCCCTTGGGCTACAAACCCGCGGATGCGGGGCATTTCTTCACAGATGCCCCGCTCGGAACGTATCCGTGCGACCGCGCATCCGCAGGATGGCAGCCCAGAAGCCAGGCCGCGAGGGCGTGGATATGGATACGTTCGTCGCTCGTGAGTTCCCGACCCTTCCCCCATGGCCAGCTTCTCATCCCGAGTCGCCTTTTGACGGCCCCAGGCCCTGCACGGGCCCCCAGAGGCCGTACACGACGTACGGCAGACAGCCCCGAGGCCACAGACGTTGCCTCCTCACAGGACGCCGCGCCGGTGCTCGGCGACCGCGTGGCCGTCTTCGGCGCGGGCGTCGTCGGCTCGTTGGTGGCCGCGGTGCTGTGCCACGGGCGGCAGGCCGTGGCCGTGGCCGAGCCGCGGCCCGAGCGGCTGCGGCCGCTGCTCGCCGCGCTGCCAGCGGCCGAGGGCCTCGCCTGCGCCAGGGGTCCCGCGGCGCCCAAGCAGAGGCCTCCCAGATGGGGTCCTCCTCTTCCTCGTCCTCGTCCTCCTCCTCCTCCTCCTCTTCTTCCTCCGTAGCCATTTTGGCTCAAGGGGCCTGCTCCTTAACTTCCAACCTCGCTCGAGGCGCCTGGTGGCCAGGCGCCAAGGCCGGGAGCGGACGCGCTCCTTTCGCCTGCCGCGGCCGCGCCCCTTCGCGCTCGCTGCGCTCCTCCCGCGATGCCGTCCGAAGGCGGCGACTTGTGGCCTGTGTCTCTCTCTTCTACCCCCCCTGCTTCCCCAGGGGGGATGAGCCTGCCTGCGCCTGCGCCTGAAGGTACTCGCATGGAGACCAAGCGTGACACCGAGCAGATTTTTGCCGCCATGCGTGATATGCTTGCTCCCTTGTCGTCGTCTGTCGCCAGCCTGGCCAGTCAGTTGAATCTCGGTATTCAGGAAATCAACCAGCAGATTTCGGGAATCCAGGGTCAGATGATTGCCGCAGAGAAGAACCTCCAGTCGTTACAGCATGCGCGCACTGAATTGGCCAAGCAGACGACTGCCAACTTCGATCAGATGCGAGCGATCCATGAGCAGGCTCTTCTTCCGTCCATTCAAGACCGAGAGGCCGCGGAGTCCTCCCTTCGCGATGAGCTTGAGGGAATGATCCAGACGATGCGCGATGAGATCCAGGACCTTCGGAACGCTGATGGGGGGACCCCGGCTCCTCGTGGGGATGATGACAGGCAAGTTCGTCGGAAGATCGACTCTGGTCTCGTGGGCAACCCCTCCCGTCTTGTGGTACTTGGCTTCCCTCGGCCGTTGATAGAGAAAACGCTCCGCGAGGCAGTCCAGAGCATCCTCACCCGCTGTGCTCCGTCTGCGACTCAGGGTTCGATTCAGGTCAAGGCCTACGATTGCAGTAAGAAAATGTTCCTTGACTTGGCTTCCAACCTAGAGGCCTCCGCTTTCCACGGGATGGCCTCGTCCGTGGGCGCGTTCCCCTTCCCGAACCCCGAGTGCGGTCCTGACTTGCAGCTGCGGGTTCGACGCGATCCCTCCCCCCCCTCGTCCAGGAAGCTGTTCTACGATCTTGGGAATATGCGCCAGCATGTCTCCAGAATCTTTGGGGCGGACAAGGTTGGGTCGACGGGGCTAGGAGGTGCGATTTTTGTGATGAAGGACAACGGAGTCCCTGTGCAGGTGGTAAAGATTTCCACTGTTGATGATGGCCCCGCTGCGGGCACCGCTCAGTGTGGCGTCGAAATCGATGGGCTGACGCAAGTGGGCGGGCAGCAACACGCGCAGTGTCTTCACTCCAGGTCTGCAGAGATTCGTCCCTTTCGGTGAGTATCGGAACGGCTCGACAGGAGATCGGGCGGTGGGGGGAAGTCCAGTGGGTTCGGCTACTGAGTGCTCGTCCGCCCTCTCTGCCAATTTTGTTGTACACCATGCAAGTGACAGTGCTTTATCCTTCTCGCCGCTTGCTGGGGAAGCTGGTGGAGTCTACCGTCCTGCCCGTCCTCTTTCTATCTGCAGTTGGAACACGCGCGCGCTCTTTGCCTCTCTCTCGTCTCGGTCGTCTCGGTCACGTTCACGCTTCCTTCGGGCTGAGCAGCTGTTCTTACAGTATCAGGTCATGTGTTTATAGGAGACTCACGGATCTGAAGCAGACTTGGTTATCCTTCGGGACGATTTGCGAACCGGGCAACTTTTTGGGAGCTTTCTGGATGATCGGACCGCGGGTGGGGTGGTGACTTGCCTGTCTTCGAGTCCCTGTGACAGTTTCGACTCGGTCGCTCCGATTACGATCGTTCCTGGGCGGATTCTCCTCGTCCATGGTCGTGGGCCTCGAGGTGATTTGGTCGTGGTCAATGTTCATATGCCTAACACGTGCGATGATGTCCATATCTATCATCGTTACTTACAGTACCGCCCTTCCTGCGGCGGCGCATACTATGGCTTTCATGTTCGGTGACTGGAATTTCTGTACGATGGAGGATGGCAGGTCTCTGGTCTCGGGGGAGATTGGGCCTGGGGACCGTCTGCAATGTGACGCTTTTCAGGAACGCTGCAGCCACTGGTGCGAATTATACCAGCCCGACCCGACCCGTCGGGACATTGTGAATCGGGAGTTGCGGGGTTTGGCCAGGTTGGATCGGATTTACACGACCCTTCCTGCAGGGATCCTCAATGATATGACCGTCGTTTTCAACGCTGTCGGCGCCCTCATGCATCCAGGGGCCTCTTCCGATCGCATTCCCGTTGCTGCCGCGGTTTCCCTCCCGACCCTGAGGGGTCGGTTCTCGGTTCCGAAATGGATCAGCCAGCGTGCCGACTATCGCAGGTTGGTTTCCGAACAGCTGCGGGAGCTGACGCTCCCGTCGGACCCCGCCCAGAAACTCGCACGGGTGAAAGAAGTTTTTGGTGCGACTGCTGTGGAATTTAAGAAGCCCCTAAAGGGTCGCCCTGCGGCCAGCGATGCGGAGCGGCTCCACTTTGCGTTCGTGGCATGCCGTGGGTGGCGGGGTCGGCGGTGGTATCTTTGTCTTCGTGCCATTCGTTGCTACGCCTCTCTCCTGCCTTTCTTCGACGTCGACGGCGGCGTGTGCGCCGATCCCGATGGCCTCCACAGTCTGGTGCTGACCTTGAATGGGGCGATGGTTTGATGCGGAGCTGGAGGAGTTGGATCATAGTAACCAGGTGGAGGAGGTGAGGACCAAGTGGAGGCGGAGGCTGGTGGCTCTTCGGCGAGGGTGGGATCTCATGAGGAGGAGGACTGGGCTTCTTGGCGTCTTGGACGAGGACGGGGCCCCGTGTGCCTCCCCTGAAGCGGCGGCTGCGGCTCTGGTGGCCCATTGGAGTACTGTCTTTGCCGTGTTCAGACTACTGCCGGCCTTTTTCCTGCCCCCCGTTGGAAACTTGATGTTGGCGAATTTCGGGGCCGTGTCTGCCGTGAGTTTCATTCTGCTCCTGGTCCTGATGGGATCCCGTACGGATGCTGGAAGGTCCCTGAGGCGACCGCTGCCTTGTTCGAGGTTTACGAGGAGGTCTTCAACAGTGCAGGGGATTCACTCCCCCCTGAGTGTCGAGTTAGTCGCATGGTCTTCCTCCCGAAGGGCGGCGACCCACGTGATCGCAGTGACTTTGTCTCACGCGCACCTGCCTCCACCCGCCCGCTCTCCCTCTCGAACACGGATGCGGAGATCCTCTCCGATGCCTTCTGTCTCGGACTCAACGACGTCGCCCCTGTGACGGTGGGCTCCTCCCAGCGAGGTGGGGTTCGAGGGCGTGACATTCTGGACAATGTCGCCGAAGTGGAAAAATGGGGCCTCCTTCAACACATGTGTGGGCGTGATAGAGCGGGGGTCCTATTCGCCGATTTCAAGGCGGCGTTCCCTTCGATTCTGGTGGAGTGTTTTTTTTGCCGTTTTGGTGGCTATGGGGGTTCCCAGCGAGACGGTGGGTTTCTTCAGAGCCCTGTATGCCTACAATGCGGCCCTCGTCTGTTTTGAGGGCGCTGCCGAAACGGATTTTCCTGTGGAGCGCGGCGCGCGGCAGGGCGATCCTGCTTCCATGGCCCTCTTTGCTCTGGCCCAGGATCCTGTGCTCCGCTGGATCCGTGCCCGTCGTGTCGAGCGTGTGGGGGTCCAATTGGCTCATGCTGATGACTGTTGTTTTGGACTACGTGGCGTTCTCGTCGATCTCATGCCCACCCTGCTGCTTCTCGACTTGCTCTCGTCCGCGATTGGTCTCTCCTTGAATGTGGGGAAATGCTACGTCCTGATCTGCGGGGCGCTGGATGGAGGCGCCCTCGCTGCCCACGTGGTTCGGAAGGGTAGCCGTTTTGCCTTTGTCCGTTTCGCCTCCAGGGTTCTGTGCCTCGGATTCTGGGTGGGCCCGTCGGCCCATGAGGTGGCCTGGGTGGAAACGATGAATAAGTTCTGGCAGCGAGTTCGTCTTCTTCGCTCTCTCTCGCTGGGCTTGGCGACCACTATCCGTCTGTTCCACTCGAATTGCCTCTCCGTCTTGCAGTATCGGATTCAGCTGGCGAGGGTCACCCCTTCGGTTCGGCGTCAGCATAGGGAAGCGTTGCAGATCTTAACCGCGGGGCCTCGGCATGCGTTGAATTAGAGTATGCTCACTCAGTTACGTGATCTGGGGATCTCCCTTGAGTTTTTTGGACCTGGGGCTGTATGACAAAGCAACGAAGTTTCGGGTAGTGATGCGGTGCAAGGCGTTCGACGATGCTCCTTATGAGTTAGAGGGCTTAGCGAGTGGCTTGACCGATGATGACTTTATCCCTGCTCGGATGTTCTCTGGATGGTGGTGCCATTCGATGATGCGCACGACGAATGAGGACGCGGCGGACATCGTGAATTCTCCCATTGATCGGACAACCCGTACTATCCAGGCCCAGGTCCATCGTCACTTACGTTCGGTTCTTATGACGGCCACTCCCTTACTGTGTCTGGGTGAGCGGGTCTCGCGGTGGTTAGTTGCAGTCTCCCTCGAGGATATGTTCCGTCTGCGGACTAGATTGCGCGCAGTGGAGCGTGCCACGTGCACTCATCTCGCTACCAACGTTCTCTGCGTACTGTCCAGGGGCGTGTGTACTTCGGCACGTTTTCATGCGAATGACCGTGGCTGCTGCTTTGGTTGTGCGGCCCCTGATGACCTACTCCACTACAATTTCTGTGATCGTTTCCGTGACCTGGCGCTGCACCGTCTCCCTGGGTTGGAGGCCTTACCCGCGCCGTGGAGGGAGATGTGGCATCACCGCGATACATGGCTCACATGTCTCTGTCTAGTGGGGCCTTCTTGGGGACTCGACCGCGACGTTGCCTGCGCCGCCGTCCTCGATGCCCTCCTGGAGACTCATGCCCACCATCGGCGCCAGACTCGGGTCCCCGCTTCCCAGGTCTTCGTTGCTCGATTGCGTCTCCTCGCTCGTCGATATACTGCTGTCGCTCGCCAGTTCAGGGCACGGCGTACGGGGCGGGCTGC